TTAGCCCCAAAGGGGCAATTTTTTATCAATTTTGTATAGTCCAGGAACTAAATTGATGCAATGTGATACTATACAACTAAATTAACCATTTGATCAGGCGATTATTTTGAAGTTTATCCTGATTTCCATAGCAATGCTCATTAATGAAAGATACTACAACTGATTAAAGCTTCAAACTACCAAAGCAAATAAATGTTTTAAAAAATTAGCATTAGAGATCCAATTCAACCCAGACATAGTTATCAAATTACTATTAAGCATATTAAATAAGAAATTTGAATAATTAATAGTTCTAAAATAACCAAATACAAACAGTAAATCCACTCATCAATTTTAACTAATCAATGTCATCATTAATAACCAACATCTATACATATTCAAAGTTAGCCATTTCATTCATCAAAACAATTGTTTAAAATTGCGCAATATGAGGCTCTCCTTGAGGCCCGCCTTTGCGCAATTCCAGTGAAAAGCGCCTCGAGGCTTATGCCTGTGGGCTCCGAAAATTCGGCCCCGGCCTCCGCTCGCTTTTCTTATTCGGCGAGGGAGTTTTAACGAACTAAGTTCCGGGGTAAATTTTGGAAGGCAGATGGGTTTGTAGATAAGACACTACCCAGAGATTTCGCCCTCATTTGGTGAGGACTTTATGATCTGAGTTTTGGTTTCCTATAGGCGCAAGCCCCTATAGTTAATTACCCCTCTCGATCACGAGAGAGAACTTTCGATTAAGGCTAGTCGTCAATCAGATACGTATAGAAATACGTGCATCTGGCATATAGTAGCAGCAATGGGTTTGGATGTTGGTAGAAATTGGATTTGGAAATTAGGTTTTGATTTTTGGTATTTAAAATAGAAATTGCACCATCTAGCACTTAAAGCGGATGGTGGGGGAATGGATGATGGACCCGATCAAGATCCCATGGTTCCGTCATCCCGGGCCATCATGGTCCCTGGTCTACTTAGTCAGAGGAGGTAGTCGACCCAACCTGACAGAAGGATCCTTGTCGGCAGCCATGGGTTGCTTCGTCCAAGGGAACCTTATAGACCGGGGTTGAATGTTTGTCTAAGGGGACAAATTTGAATCCACCTTAGCTAACAAAGGGCTTTATGCCCTATCGATCATATCCTATTGATTCATATCTCAAGGATTTAACGCCATTAAGGAGCGTATCGGCTCTGGCCATAACCGTTGTCTGTGGTGCCATTTGGCGGCAAAACCACTCGGTTCAGAGGGCCCCGGGTCATAACCGTTTACCTGCAGTGCCATTTGGCGGCGAAACTGCCGGTTAGAGGACACGTACCACGTCCTTACTGGCAAGAGATTGTTTGAGAATGGATCCTAGTAATATTTTTGACTAGGCATTTGGCTCTTTGTGAGCTAGAGTAAATTTCAATTTGTCCGCCTCGACAAACTATTGCGGAGGGCGGATGGATTTTGCTTTAAGTTTTCTGATGGATTTATTTCATTTTAAATATTTTTATTTAATATATGTAATTTATTATAAATTAATCATAATTAGTTATATATAATAGATATAACTAGTTACATTTAATTTAAAATTAATTACAAATAAATGGGATCTAATTTATAATTAATCATAAATTAGATATAATTAGTCATTTAACTAATTATATTTAATTCAATGTTAATTATAAATTAATTAGATTTAATTTATAATTAATAAAAAAAGAATTATAATTAATTATATTTTAATTTATAATTAATTATAACTAATTTTAAATTAATTATAGATTAATTAAATCTAATTTATAATTAACTTAAAATAACACATAATTAATTATACATAATTTAAAATTAATTATAAATTAGGATGATTAGCTAATTATAATTGATTTTAACTAATCATAATTAATTACTATTAGTAGTAATTAAGTATGATTAAATAAAATCAACTTTAAGTAAGCTAATCAAAGAGGATTTGATCATTTTGAAATAGGATTCAAGCACGATTTACAGAGAATTAAACCCTCTATTTAATTAAACAGCGAGTTCAATTCTCTGTTTCCAGAGAATCGGCCGAATAGGAGATTTACGGGATTTGGCCGAGGAGCGTGCGCAAGGGAGATGATTACCTTCACGGTCAGAGAGCTCCTACTCTCGGCTCCGATCAAAAATGTCATAACTTCCTGTTCAACAGGGAGGGAGAGCCGGTATAGGAGCAAAGTCGGACAGCACGGAGGGGATCGGAGGGGGAGCGAGACGACTGGGTCGGGATCGGGACGTTGAGAGGAACTCGGCAAGTTCGGCCAGGTAGGTTCGACTCTCTCTCTCTCTCTCTCTCTCTCTCGGCTTGGTGAGACCAGGAGGATCGGGATGGGGTGGAGTCGGGTGAGGCTAGGGAATCGACGGGATCTCTGCGGCTTGGAGAGGAGGAGGTCGGAGGGGTTGGATGTCGGGCAGAGGCAGAGAGATCGGAGGAGAGGTTGGACGACGGGGTTCGGTCGAGTGGGAGTGTCGAAGTGCGAAGACCTCCCTTTCGTTTTATAGACGCGGAGAAGGCAAGGATCGAGGCCTGCGAAGGATTTTCGGGAATCGACGTAAACGGCGCTGCATGTACAGTACTTTTCGGCGAGATTTCAGGCAGATATCGCGGATTCGACAGTCCGAGGTGCGGGATTTAAGGGATACGAGGTTTTGTTCTGATTTTTTATTTTTTTTTTTTTGTGCTAAACGCAGAGGTTAACAATGCCTCAAGTTTTTTTATGAGGCTTGCGCCTCAACTTGGTTGAGGCCCGCCTTAAGGCGCGCCTTGCCTCACTGGCGTGAGGCTTAAGCCTCACTCTATATATATTAAAACTTACGTAAATCCTGAAGTAAAGCCCCGAACAAATCACACTTCGTGTACCCTCAAGTCGCAGTAACTTCTTCTCAATTGCCTTAACCTCCAGCCTATCGCCTTCGCCACAACGACCAATGTCATAGCCTCCGTCAAGGATCACTTGAAAGCCACACACCACCACTACTCTAAAAATTTTAGAGTATTAATCTCATCTTTATGTTGATGAAAAATATTTTTGAAAGCAGAAGATGTCTGAAATAAATAAAGAAGAAGCATATTGGGAGGCATTGGACTCCACAAATGAGATGGGAGAGATCAATTTGTTATAATGATGACTTAAACAAAAATCCCCTCAGTGATGACAAAACAGATGATTTTCTAGTTGTTGCCAACTTTCCAACATTTTTTAGAAATTAAATGTAGATGAGTAGGGAATTGAGAAAGAAAAAATTTGAAGTTAAACTTAATGTTATTTGATACTTTTATGCAATTTCTATATTTAATAATTTTTGCTAATGTAATATTTGTATTCCAAATATATTTCATGCAATTTATCACTAGTCACTTTATGTCTTGTGCAATTTTTTGTTTCATATGTATGTTATTGTGTTATTTCATAGTTTAATAGAAAAATAATGTCATTTTTTAACACATTATTTGAGTATTATATAAAAATTTACTTTTAACATTTATTTGCACTTAAAGCAATTTTTTATTTTGAGGCTTACGCCTCGCCTCACAAACAAAAAATGCCTCTATACATAATTGCACAATTTTAAACATTGATCAAAACATTTCAAAATTCAATATTATGTATCCCCTGATATTGGTTATCAACCTGATTAAAAAAGATACTTGAATTGAGATTTGAGATACTGTATTCAACTAACATAATTTTAAGAAATGAGAATTTGTAGAGTATGTGATGAAGTAGTATAGTTGAAAAAGTTTTTAAAAAATATGGGGCTTTAAATAATAGAATTTGAATTAAGTATATAATATTCAATTTTAGTTAATGTAAAATTGATAATCTTTTCAATCAATATTCTTAGAAGATCAAGTAATGACTAAGTTGATGTATTTAATGCACTTGTGTCATAAAAAAGAATATAAATTTGAATGAGAACATAACTTCTAAAATTAAATTTATATGGTTTAAACTGAGCCTTAAGAGTACAATTTTTTTATTTTTTATTTTTTTTTTATTTTTTTTTTAGCCTTAAGAGTACAATGTGATAAGAGAAAAGCATGGTTACTAAAAATAATTTTATAAGACATGTTATATTAGTTAGGAAACCAAGAAGTCACTAATAGACACATTGAGTGTTTGCAAAACTTTTTAAAGATTGAAGTGATAAAACTAGGAAGGAAATTGTTACATCAGAGATGGACCGAGTAGCATACAATAACAACAACGTCAAGCCTTTATCCCATTATGTGGGGTTAGCTACATAAATAATTTTTCTCCATTGTGTCATGTTAAGAGTCAAATTCTCATTTAAATCTAATAACAAAAATGTCATTTCTAATATTTTCTAGTCAAGACTTTTTAGGTCTACCTCTATCTTTCTTAATATGGGTCAAATCTAATATATCTACTCTCCTAACCAGGTCATTGGAAGACTGATATTTTATGTGACCAAACCATCTAAAGCAACTCTCTCTAATCTTATCTTCCACTACTGAGTTGCATGATATTAGAAAAAGATGCTTGAAAATTTGCTAATGTGGTTTGAGCAGATAGTATAGAGAACATATAATGTGACACCGAGATGGGTATAGTTAATGTGGAACGACAAGGAGGAAAAATGGGTAGACAAGGGCTAGTAATGCTGGAAGATAAGAAAAAGGATTTCTCAAACTATAAGTTAACACTTCACAAGACACTTCATGAGAATGGATGGAGGATTCATAAACAGACCACAACTTGTTGGAGTCACACTAAAGAATACTATGACAAAAATCTTAGTAATGCATCTTTTCTTTCAAAGAAGGCATAATTCAACCTTTCAAGAAACAATTATGGATGATATCTAGAACATCAATTTCAAGAGCAAATAAAATCCTAGGTTAACACATAACAAGACTTCTCTAGGATAAAGAACTTTATTGTTAGCCAACAAACATAAATAAATTCATTTGATAGGAATCTCAAATAAAAATGAAACACAACCATCTCAATTTACTTTTATGACATACCTTAACAAGTTCAGTCTCCCTCCTTATTGAGGAAGTACGCCAACCCACCATGTCTAGATAAAGTTCAAGCAAACTTTAGATTGACGAGCAAAGCAAAATAAAGCTAAATCCAATAATATGAAAAAATGACGGTGGGGCCATGAAAGATATGATGAATGAAAGAGGATACGGTCATATGAAACATTGGCATAGAGAATACGGTTTTTAAAAGCACCAAGTGACGATCTGCAATAGAAAAAATAAATAAGAAACATGGAGTTCAGTGATATATCATAGTATCCATAAATTCATCAAAAAGTATTTGTTTGCATTCAAACCTACATAAATTTTAGATCTTCGAAATCAGATGACATTCTTAGAAGAAGAGGAGGGTTTTTTGGTTCACCGTCAGTAAGAAATAGCTGGCTACCAGTTCGACCAGTAAACATGGGAGCTAAAGGTGCTGCCAATTTTTCCAAGAAAGAAACTCCCAGGAGGAACGGAAGCTGAAAATAAAACATAAGCTCACCTATAAATTTATTTCTTTCCCTGTTATGTAGGTGTCAATCTCTTCGTTTCATAAGCATAAAGATTACAAAGAAAGCACTTTGCTTAATATAGAAGAATAGAGAAAATCTATGGACTATTACTTCATTTGGGACAGCTTTCTTATTAAAATTTTTGTACTAGAAAACCGTTTTATACAGTAAGAAAGCCATCCCAAACGAAGCCTATATTTGGCTTATGGCTACTTCCATAGAAAGCTCACCTGTTTTCTCCCTCTAACCCCAAGATGTGGAGTTGCCAAAGTAATAAAATTAATTGGCTCCAATCCCGCAATTTTACCTAATGCAGAAATGTGACCTAATCTATCTGGATTTCCATCAGTTGAATTCACAATGTTATTGTGCTGACTCTTATTCAGCTTATCAGATGAATAGAGTACTGCAACTGCATATCTTGCAAACAACCCACCCAATGAGTGGGCTAAAAAGGAGATCTTTCTCAAACTCTTCGTTTTCTGCACTACAGTTAGAACCTATACAAAATAGTTGAATATGAGATTAAGCTTATTAGACATTTGGCCAAAAAATGTTAAGAAAACAAGGAGTAGATATTTGACTGCATACTTCATCTGCTAATCGTCTTCCAGCTCCATCGATTCCAGCAAAGGTTTTAATATAGGTATTTGAAGAACTAACTGAACAATAATATCAAAGATCTTAAGAAAAAATGACACTGGATATTATGAACTAAATCATAATGATGAACTAGTGAAATGCTATTCATTAAGAAAAGCAAATTCAAGTGCAATCAGATTTAGCATTTCTAATAACTTGAGAATTGAAGTACAACAATGTACATGCCATACCATGGATTAAAAAATTGCTTCCCAGCTGTCTTTTCAGCTCTGCCTCTGCATATGTCCAGTCTTTTGGACTGCATAATTAGAATAATTCCATTTGAAAAGCATTAATGTGAGAAGAGATCATTGCTTTTATACAGAATATGAAGAGAAACCACGACAGGAGGAAATATAGTGTCAATGATGATTACGAAAAGCTTGACATATATGAAAAGGCAAAGCTCTTCTTATAGCATGATAAACGATAAGCATAGTACAGGCCTCGAACAAAGAAGTTTTCAATAATTTGTAAATGTCATAGCACACATTGATGCAAAATCACAAGAATACTCACTTAGGTATGTAAAATTAGTAACATCTAGGAAAAATAAGAAAATTCTGTATAAGCATCCGTGACTATGATGCAAGATGTCTTAGGATTCCTATGCAACAAGATGGTGCAGTGAAAACAATTCATGCAAATATGATTTAAAATTTCAAGTTTCAAAGACACCAATTAAAATATTAACTCAACTTCTTTGAATTAAATCCAAAAATACGAGAAATCCATTCCTAATAATAATCTAATGATAGCTCAAATAAAAAAAAAAACAGCGAAAGATTTAAGACCACAAAAAATCACAAGTAAATTAAGATTCATACTAGAAAAGAAACTCATGTAATGGATTTGACTAAATTCAAGCACACTGACAAAAAATAATATTGAATTATGTAGAAGAAAAGAGAACAAGAGATCAACCATAAAAAGTATAGACTTCATGTCATTACAAGATGATTTCTCCAAGAAATTGGTAATCTCACTTGTACTATACTCGGAGCACTCAAAATTCAACTAGCACACAAAAGATTGAAAAGAATTTGAAGTTTTATTGAACAAAAACCTCCATTACATCCCTCATATTTTGAAATTCATAAGCAATAATATTTCTCAAGATTTTAGGCTCTAGATTTTGGAAATCACTAAAATTCTGATTATTCAATATAGTGTGCAATCCAAGGGCTGCATGAAGTTTAAATTTTAACAACATATCATAAACACCATCCCATCCCCTTAGAAGTAGAACCAACAATAATTCTCACGGCCATTAGAGTGTCAAGATAAACATTCCTGACATGTTTCTTCAGGAATGTTTATCTTTCTTCAAGAATCAAATGTGTTATAGGAATAGAACCCACACTCTTACAACATCAATAATGACTGACTCTGCTATAAGAACGAAGGCCAAACACACTAAGCTATATAAGTTGTTACTATTAGAACTAGATGACAATCCTAGAAACAAGGAGGACCAAAGAAAAGACACCCACTAGATTCCATATGGTTGCAACATTCCAGCATCAATAAATTCGCAATTTCAGAAAAGATAAATATTCTAGAAAGATAAATATTGATATTATGATTCATAGAAAGAAAAATATTCTATGCATTCAAAAAATTAAATGTGTTAGAGATAGGGGTGTAAACGAGTTGAGTCGATTCGTGTTTTAGCACTATCGAGCTTAGCTCGTCTGTTGGAAAGCGAGCTCGAACTCGAGCTCATCAGACTGTAAAGGAGCTCGAGCCGGCTCACGAGCCACTCGATTTCGTTCTAGATTTTGCAAGTCTCATTTTTCTCACCCATTTTGTTCATTTTTCCACATGTGTCAGTCTCGTATTTCGAAAAGTAGAAAGAATAGGATTTTTTTTTACAAGAACCTACGGAAACAATTTATTTTTGGGCAAAATAACTACTATTTTTTTATTCTTATTTTTTGAAAACTTCTCTCATATATTAATGAAAAGCTTCCAAAGTCTGTCATATCATTTATAAAGAGCCAAAATAGGTATACTTTTATGAGAAACTGTAATAATGAAGAGCATAAACCTCAAACCATTTTTTTTAATTAAAATATGTTTGCTGATTAATTTAATTAAAATAATTTAATTAATTAAATCATTTTGAGCTGGCTCGCGAGCTCACGAGCTAAGCTTCAACCAGCTCGAACTCAAGATCGTTTAATAAACTAGCTCGATTTTGAGTCGAGCTTGAGCTCGTGGCTTAATAAGCTCGGCTCGTGAGCTCGTTATCGAGTCGAGCTTGAGCCAATATATAAGAGTTTGAAGGATAATGATGTAGAAATTATAGATTGTTGTTAATGCTAAGATTATTAATATTATAAGTACTTACGCTCCTCAAGTAGGTTTAGATATATATTTAAAATTAAAATTTTGGAATGACTTAAAAGAATTAATTCAAAATATACCTCTTGAAGAAAGTTTTTTTATTAGAGGAGATTTAAATGGACATGTTGATAAAGAGGTAGAATATTTTAAGAGATTCATAGAAGTTATGGGTTTGAGCGACTAATGAAGGTGGTAAGATTATATTAAATTTTTCTCTAGTTATAAATTTATAATTGTTAATACCTTATTTATGAAAAGAAAAAAGCATATCATTACGTATAAAAATGGATATAGTAAAATACAGATTGATTATTTTCTAATAAGAAAAATAGATCTTTTATATTACAAAGATTGTAAAGTTATTATGAGTAAAAATTTATGTACCCAACATCATTTATTAATTTCGAACTTTAAGATTAATGGATAGAATATGAAAAATAAAGTAAGATATTGTCTTAGGATTTAATGGGGGCATCTAAATAATAGTAAAAAATATATTTTTTAAAGTAAGATTTAAGAACTTAAGATTCTAACTATTCATGAGGAAACTAATATTATATGAGAAAAAATATTTAATGATTTTAAAAATGTTATAAAGGATGTGCTTGAAATGTCAAAAGAAAAAACTCCTAATAGTAAAAATAATTGGTGGTGTAATTAAAAAGTACATACAACAACAACAACAACATCAAGCCTTTATCCCACTACGTGGGGTCGGCTACATGAATCCTTTTTCTCCATTGAGTCCTATTAAAAGCTAAATTCTCGTTTAAATCTAATAAAGAAAGGTCATTCTTAATATTTTCTAACCAAGTCTTTTTAGGTCTACCCCTACCTTTCTTAACACAAGTCAAATCTAATACCTCTACTCTCTTAACTGGGTCGTCGGTGTAATTAAAAAGTACATAAAAAGTAAAAAAAAAAAAAGCTTTGTTATAACTTATAACATTTGGTTTAGATGTAAAAATTTTTAAAAATTAAGAAATATATAAAGAGACTCGTAAGGAGTCTAAAAAATCAATACATGATGTACAAAATTTAGCTTTTGATGATTTATCTAACAGATAAGACACAAAAAAGGGTGAAAGATATATATATAAATTAGTCCAACAAAGAGATAGGAGAATGATTTAGTTCAAGTGAAAGTGAAGTGCATTAAGGATGAAGATCAAAAAATGGTTTTATTAGAAACGGATATAAAACAAAGGTGGATGAGATATTTTTATAAGTTTTTCAATGAAGATTGTGACTATATACTTGACTTTAGTGACCTTAGCACCCTAATAAAAATAAATTTTTTTATTTTTATTGATGTTAGATTGTGACTTTGGGCGATCAAGTCATTAATAAAAGTACACGTTTTAGATATCTTAGATCTATTATTTAGAGTAATGGTGAAATAGATAGGGATATTATCAGCAAAATTCAAGTTGGATGGTTGAAGTTGAGGAATGCATCAGACTTGTTGTGTGATAGAAAAGTCCCCCTCAAACTTAAGGGAAAATTCTATAAGATGGTGGTGAGACCTGCAATGCTTTATGGTGCAGAATGTTGGCCATTAAAAGAGAAGCGTAATACTAAGTCAAGTGTTGCAAAGATAAGGATGCATAGGTGGATGAATGGCTTTACCCTTAGAGATAGGAAACGAAATGAGCATATACATGAAATGGTTGGAGTAGCTCTAGTGTAAGATAAGATTAGAGAGAGTCTCCTTAGATGGTTTGGTCATATAAAACGGCGGCCTTCTGATGACTAGGTTAGAAAAATAGAGGTATTAGATTTGACTTATGTTAAGAAAGTAGAGGTAGACCTAAAAAGACTTGCTTAGAAAATATCAGAAATGATATTTTTTTATTAGATTTAAACGAGAATTTGACTTTTAACAGGACACAATGGAGAAAAAAATTCATGTAGCCGACCCACGTAGTGAGACAAAGGCTTGATGTTGTTGTTGTTGTTGTTTATGTTAGTAAACCAAAGTTAGAGAGCCTTTAAAGAAAATGAAGTGAAGGAAAGTTGTTGGACCTGATGATAATCTAATAGAGACATGAAAATGCTTATAATATTAAGAAATTTATTGGCTTACGAAAATTTCTAATATTATTTTGAAAATTAAAAAGATGATAGCTAAGATAAGAATGAGTGTGTTGATTCCAATTTTTAAGAATAAAGATGATGTATAAGAGTGTGTGAATTATAGAGGAATTAAGTTAATGTGTCATACTTTAAAACGATGGTAGAGAGTTATTAAGTATTGGTTATGACGTGATACTAATGTTTCTCAAAATCAATTTGGACTCATACCAGGAGGTCTACAATGGAAGCTATACATTTATTGAGAGGTTTGATGGAGAAGTATAGAGAGAATAAGGATGATCTATATAATATTTATTGATTTTGAGAAAGCTTATGATAAAGTTCCAAGGGAAGTACTATAAAGAGTTTTAGAAAAGGAAGGGGTTAATAAGCTTGTACTAAGTCATTAAAATATGTATGCATGAGCTGTTACTTGTGTTCAAATAACAAATGGTTTGACCAAGTACTTTCCTATTTGAGTTGGATTACATCAAGGATCAACTTTAAGCCCATATCTTTACTAGACATTTGGAAGAGTGTATGCTTTTCTTTATGATATTTTCTTATTGATAAGACTAGAGAGGGAGTTCATGGTAAACTTAAATTATGAAGGTCAACTTTAGAGTCTAAAGGTTTTCATTAGAGTATATCTAAAATTGAATACATGGTGTATAAATTTGGTAGTAATAGATCTAGTGGGGGATTATGACTTTAGGCAATCAAGTAATGATTAAGAGTACGCACTTTAGATATATTGGGTCTATTATTTAGAGTGATGGTGAAATAGATGGAGATATTATTAGTAGAATTCAAGTTGGATGGTTGAAGTGGAGGAATACATTAGGCTTGTTATGTGATAAAAAAGTACCCCTCAAATTAAAGGAAAAATTCTATAAGATGGTGGTGAGACCTGCAATGCTTTATGGCTTAGAATGTTGGCTATTAAAAGAGAAGCATAAAATTAGTTGCAGAGATGAGGATGCAAGGGTAGATGAGTAGCTTTACTCTTAGAGATAGAATGTGAAACGTGCATATATTTAAAAATTTTGGAGTATTTCGAATGGTAGATAAGATTAGAGAGAGTCGCCTTAGATGGTTTGATCACATAAAACATCGACTTTCCAATAACCCGGCTAGGAGTTTAGATGTATTATATACGACCTATGTTAAGAAAGGTAGAGGTAGATCTAAAAAAACTTGGTTAGAAAATATTATAAATGAACTTTTCTTATTAGATTTAAAGAGATAGATCTAAAAAAACTTGGTTAGAAAATATTATAAGTGAATTTTTTTTTTTATTAGATTTAAATGAGAATTTGGCTCTTAACAGAATACAATGGAGAATTATGTAGCCAAACCCACATAGTAGGATAAATGCTTGATGTATTTGTTATTGTTATTGATGTTTAAAATACCAAAAAATTGTGCAAGCATTAAGATTCACACTACAAAAAGAAATTCAATGATAACGAATTTGACAAAATTCAAGCACACTAAGGAAAACCAATATTGAATTATGTAGAAAGAAAAAACAAAGAGATCACCTTACATACAAAACCAAGTCCTCGCGCTGCCACAAGGAGATGATTTATGCTAAAAATTGATAGTCGTGCTCGCACAACACTCGAAGAACTCAAAAGCTACAAGCACTCAAGATTAAAAAGAAATTGAAACATCATTAAGCTGAAAGTTCCCTTGCATCCCTCGTATATTGATATTTATAAGCAATACTACTTCTCATTTGATGACCTTTAGATGTTGTAAGTTGTTGAAATCTTGACTGGTTACAGCACCTGATCCAAGAATTATAGTAAATTTAACGTCAAAAACACCTTTTCGGCCACAATGTCCCTCTAGAACCGGAACCAATAATGATTCTCACACACACTAGAGTATCAAGGTAAACACAATTTATTTCTTCAAGAATCAAATGACAGTTAGAGCAGTGGCCATGCGAAGCTTCAGGAAATGCTATAGGAACAATGGCCAACTTTGCTACAGGAATAGTGATGGAATATTAAGCTATAAGAGCTAGATGATGATACACAACGATAGGGAAAATGAAAAAAAGATGCCCATTAGGCATATTTTTTTACGCAAAATTTTCAAGATAAACTACCAATTAAAAATTAATAATGGACATTTTTGCTTCGGAATTTTTTTCACGCAAATTTGAGAAAACAAATTAAAAATTACAAGTGACTTTGAAATGATTTAAGAGCATATTTTGCGGAAAAAGTCTATAATTAAGTGCATGGAGATACCGATATATAACATCTATATTTTTTTACAAGATATGTCTACAAACATTAATTGAGCTACTGCTTGTTCATGTACCTTCTAAGATTTCTTTGACATCAGCTAACTTGAATGGTGTCCTTTAATTTTGTTATTACAGTCGAGCATCTTCTGGAGAATTTAAGTCAAGAGCTGCTTGACTTAGTTAATTTAGACATGCTCGACTGTGCTATTAATCTATAATAGCTCAGCGTTTGGATTCATCGCCATCAACATAACTACAATTTACTTGTAGAATCCACATGGAATAACAAGAATATATTATCCGGTTTCTCAGTAAAAAAAGAAAAAAGGTGACACATTCCCAAGAAAAGTTATTCGTTTACCTGGGATAAGATTCAATCAATATTAAGGTTGACATGATTAATTTAACAATATGTTCAATTTTCTACGGACTTAGGTACACACTACTGAATAAGAATTTTGGAAACACCTGGTTTGGTGGGGTGGGCGAGCTTGAATTATCAGTCATGCGATGTAAGTTGAAAGAATGCTATATTTATGAAATACGTGGCATACACAACTAATATTGCTTATTCAAACAGCATATTAACGTCAAAAGTCCGAATGCTTAGCAAAAACTCAGCCTTTAAGTGCATTCACCTGGTCCTAATAACGTTTGAGGTAATGGACCAATAACATAATAAAAAATAGTATATAAGGAATTTTGGTTCCATTGATAAGTAAGGCAGCCTTTGAATATCACAAAATACAGAAAATAAACATGCTACCATAATCAAAATTTGCCTTCACGAAGGTTGATAGTCAGAACAAGATTCCTGACAACAATGAGTAATGATTAAAAAAACAGGTAATTTGACAGATCAATGAAGCATTGCCTCTACACAGGTAAATTACCTCGCAAATATACCATGCACAAGGACAAGAAGATGATCAGGTTCATGCTTGACCTGAGATATGTTGTAAGGTACTGTAATTCCTCCCTGCGTTGTACCCATTGTTTGATATCCAAAACTTACATTATAGCCGATGGTACCCAAGCCTGCATGGATAAATCTCATCACTTTGAGGAAGTAGTAGTTACAGGTATGTGACTTAGTTTTTTAGACCAACATGATACCAAAACATGTGGGCCATGAGATTGATTGCTTGCAAAGGCAGATTCTAGCTGAATATCCAAGAATCATATTTAACAGCAAATTATTCATTTAAGAAAGAAAAAAATAAAAGATCAACATATCTTTATCCAATTCACCCCTTGATGGACTTCAAAATTTGGCCTGTGGCCTTTCTAATATATTTAAATGATATGAAATCATGTGATTTCAATTTACAGAAAGTACCAAAATAATAAATGCATTTGTTCTAAAATCTACAACAAAATAATAAAGCATTAAGATATTTATATGTAATTAGCAAAACAATTATAATGAAAGGTCAAATAGAAATTGCACCAATACATACAATAATTTTGCAAGCAAAATATTAATTTATGGAGAATATAGTAGTAAAACATACAATAATAAAAAATGTATATATTAAAGAACAAGTTGCCCTTTTAGTTAATCCAAATCATGTGCCATACATTTTCTGATAGGAAATACTTGATTTCAAGTATCTCCTAGCCAAATCTGAAGTAAAACGAGAAGGAAACTGTTGTTTTCAGCAGAGGACAGCAGCCAAACACAGGAAAACAGCGAGAAATTGCGAGAAAACTGAGAGAAAACTCAAGAAGAAACTTGAATTCCACTAGATAATGAATAAAATAGCAAAGATACAATTGATCCTCAATTCGAGAGGAAGATTGATCTCTCCCAAATCTCTAGACGCCGCTAGAGCCCAAAGAAAACCTAAATCTAAGAGATCTCAAATTTCAGCCAAATTCAAGATACTCAAACCCTAGGAAAACCAACTATTTAATGCATACCAATCAAAAGGAATTCCCTAAACAGTCCCTACATTCAAATTCCTCTCTCAAACCCCCAAAAAATCCTTCCTAAAACGCTCCCGTGGAGCTTGCGTGCGTGCGGCTGACGGAAGAGGCAGAGACGTTCGCCCGTTCTCCGCCTCGACCGGTCCCGCATGGACCGACTGGACCGGTCCATTGGACCGGTCTAACATTTTCATGCCCCGTGACAATGTATTTCATGCTATGTGTCAATTTTTAAAATTCAATTGCATCAGGATATCCTGACCCAATTTTTCTTCCTTCCAAAAGTGTTCGATGCAAATATACCACAAAGATGGAATCCAAACAACAATCCTTAAATGAAAAGTGCTTAGTCAGGTCCCAAGTCAAAACAGAAATAAAAATAACACAATTATACTCTATTTATCAATCTCTAGTGTGTTTCCGTGAAACTTTCACCTGCTAAATATTCAAAGCATGAGGCTACGATCACATTCAGCTCAAGCATCATATTGTTTCTTCTATAGGTAGTTGATGCAGATGAAACCATACTACTATTTGCATCTTCCAATAGCCTCTACAAGCTCTTGCAAGGAACAGCCTATCCTTCAACAAATATTGCTTTAATGATCTTAAGTTTATAATCGACATTGCAAAAATCTGATCTTGAAGCAACCTCAACTCAAGAACTTCCAAAAGAAATATTCTTCAAAACAGACATGGAAACAATGGCCTGTAAAAACAAATTACTTGATGCGCCTTCTTAATTTAGGACTTCAACAAATACATAGTACTCAATACAGAGATGGAAGCAATTTCCTGTAAAGAAAAATATTTGATGCAACTCCTTAGCCGAGAACAGCTTATTAGACAAGCGAGGACTCCTCTAATCATATTTGTTCATATGAAAACCAACAAACACAAAAAATTCGAATATTCAAATCAAAACCAACCGTTGCATCATTTCATCCCGGCGTACCAATAGATTTGTTTTCCCCTTTTCAAAGAAGAAACAAAATTCTTGGCCTTCTAACAACAATACGATCAGCCACATACAAAGCTTCTCAAAACACCATATTTCAAAACCATTTTTCCAACAAAAAGATATATTAAAAAAAAAAACACACACACAAACAGAACCACTAAAGTCCAAACCCTAACTCCAACATAAAAGCGAAGAAAGGGGGAAAACCAAGAAACAGACCTACGAGTTTGCCGCGCGGCCTGGAAGGAGTTTCGAAGCAATCGGACGAAAAAATGGAGGACGACGAGTGGCTAGCCCTCCTAAAATTCTTCCCTAAATCGGTGCAGCGATAACTACAGCAATGGGTAAGAGATGGCGCGCACGCCATCTTTATAAAATAATGGACAAAAAGAAGCTGCACGAATAAGAATAGTAAGCGCGGGCGAAGAAAGAGGAGATATGGAACAGTAGTCAGCAAGCAGAGATATTTATCTCTTTCACTTATCTACTTCACAGTTTCCATCGGAATTAGGCTTTCTTGTCTTCTGCGGTCATGACATCATCGCCAACGATCGTCGTCGAGGTTGAGATCGGCGGGAAGAAATGGATTGGGATTCGGCACCTGCACAAGCGGTCGAGAACCGAGACGATGCTGGAAGAATATATACTGGTCGCTGCTCGTGTGAATTACTCGCTCCATCTTGATACGACAGTGAAAATAAGGAGAAATTATTACGACTGGTCTGTAGCTTCAATTGAGATCAACAGCGGGTTGATATGCATAAATGAATTTTTGGTTATCCAACAGCAACGGAGGATTGGTCGACTTCGATGTTTGAAGATTATAAAAAAAATCTTCCCAGCTTAGATTTCGTCTTCTTATTCTGGAATCAGAACAAAATAAAAAAATCTAACTCAAAATACTGGTTTCCAGAAGAAAAGTATTAAAACGATGAAAAGAAATACATAATAAAACGATGAAGGTAAAAATATTGATATTTTCTCCATGATAATTTTCATAGCCGTTGAGCTTTAGTGTTGACAGTGATATGTAGATAGATATAAACTTAACTATCTGTAATTTCGCTGGTTTTTTTTAATATCAATGAAAATTATGATTACCGTAAGCATTCCTTTGCTACTATTACTTTCATGACAATAACGCTTTTTATGAATTTAGAAAAAGAATAATAAACAGCTTATCATAAATACTATAAAATACGTATAACATTTACTTTTGCTCAATGTTATGAGACTCCAACTAAAATAATAATATTAATAATTATCCTACTATGTGAGGTCGGTCAAATAAATCGATTTTCTTCATTGATATATCATCAAAAAAATTTCTTGATCGGGTACGAATCTCGAGGCAAAATTGAGTTGGAAAGTTTCCAATATTTAGTTTGGGATCATCCAAACTCTGATTTTAGCAAACTTACAGTCGAATTAAACGTCTTAAAAATACAAACTCAACGGCACCAAATTCTACTCAATGCAAGTCCAAATGGGTTCAAATCGAAGACATGAAGCTAATTTGGAAAGTTCAAACCATAAATTGGTTGACCAAACAATTTACAAATGTGACATCCTTATAATCGAATCGAGCAGCTCGACGAGACGAATCCAACGAGCCCAAGATTGCTGAATTTTAATAGCATTAGGATATTCAAATGCCCCATAAATGGTCCACGAACAAGGGGATCAATATCTGCCATTCATTGAAACCACTCCCAACTTACCATTGATCTCCATCCTATTTATTAGTCATGCTACTCTCAGAAAACTATATTTATACTCCTCATCTATCATGGAAATGGACCCAAATAAGGAAGAGAAAGAAAATAGAGTTCTCTTGCCATCAAACTCGTCCTCGACCACCGCCGGACTTCCACCCGGCCGCTGACTTACTCTGGACTTTCACCCGGCCACCGAATGAAACCGAACTTCCACTCATCCATTGACTTCTACCCGACCACCAACTAACGCCGAATTTTTTCCTAACCACAAAATGTCGTCGAATTTTAGTCCGATCTCTATTCGTCACTAGATTTTAACCTGATGGTTAACTATTGTAATATGATCTTCCTTAATTTCAAGGATGACTTAGTCACTTATAATTCATTTAAACAATATTGGAATTATTTCAACTACTTGAGGCCCCGTGGTTTTCCTTTCACAGTTTTTCAGGTAAAAAAATTTTTGTGTTTCTTTTTCGTCTATTTGTGTGGTAGATACTTATGTAATGCTAAGACGTAAGATTTTTCATACTTTACCATTGTGAATACTCTAGCCCATAAATATTTGGCACTATCTATGTGAAACTCAATCCCACTATCTTAAGTACCACTTCAATAGCCAACAAGCATAGCAATTGCAACTTTGGATCCTCCCGCTCTAATATATATCAATTCAGGAATCAGTTTATAAATCAGGGATGTCAAGCATCTGCTCTTTTATCTGGGTGGGCAAAACCCTGCTGGAGAAAGAACTTCAAGACCTTTCCTAGAAGATCATATCTGAAAGATAGAAGAATATAAAAATGAGATCCTTCAACTTCTTCGAGAGACTTGGCAACCGGCACTAACACAACAAGAGGAGGTTCTTCTACCTCGAGATCCACCACTAGGTAATGGTGTTTGACTTGAACATCTTCATACAGATATTATTTTTTCTTAGTCAAGGATGCTTCCCTCATTACATCGAGACATTGAACTTACTGATACAACAAGTTTTACTCATCCTTCTCACACAGGTCGAGCAATTTACATTCCTCTGGATATCCCTAAGGACTTGTCCTAACCTAACATTACTGAGCTCCCACGTAATGCCCTACGTCATGAACTGTAACGAATGGTTTGAGAAAAGTTCCATATGAGAGGTGGAAGACAATCTCTTCATCAGTGAGACTTCTAGGATTCATCACCCATGACTGAAACAATCATTTAATACCCCATTCTAATGGGATTAAAACACCGAGCATTGATTCTTACAATGGAATATATGACCTCTACAAGTATATCAATCATTATAAAACCATCATGCATATCTAGTGAGTTTCATATGCGCTCCTCAGCCAAATTTTTCTTACCACTCTCAAAGGATAAGCTCAAACAAGGTTCTATTTACTTTTAACCAGAATTATCCCTATATTTATTAAATTGTCCAAAGTGTTCATCAAATAATTTATTATTGATTAAATAATTGTTAAGCATTCTTCTCACATATCTGGGATTTGTTATAATGAAAGAGAATAACTTAAGGAGTATTTTAAATAATTTTCTACCGAGGCTCAACAAATTTCAGGAGTATATCCTAAATTATAGAGAGGAGTTTTCCTTGGAGGCCTCCATCCTGGTCCCTTTTATTCGACGCTTATGCGAGACACGATTCATTCATTTACTAATTTAGTTCGAAAAATGAAGCCATTAATACTCATAAAAAATAATACGATTAAACTTTTAATAAACATAAAGATGCTCCCATAATGTATAATTCATTCTCGCAGTGAAAGAAATAATGGAATGATAACCTGCCTCCTAGACCCCTATTGCCATAACGCTAGCCTTGATAAGAGAAGGAGTATACATCTCTCAACATATATCGAGAAAATATAATAATGGCCATTTGAGATGAAGAAAATTTTAAGTGGCATAATTCTTTAAAGCCGAATAGGAAATCATGATCAATGTTTCATTCCCATCGTAGTCGTGGGCACACCACTAAATCCTGCAAGCAGCTCAAGGATGAAATTTAGCAATTTATTTGTTAAGACTACCTTTGATGGTTTATTCAAAATCCACCTGCTCGAGATGAGGCTTGTCCCACTAAGGTGCAAAATTAATAACAACAAAGATAACCGTAGAATAATCATCAAATGATTGGTGAGATTGAAACCATTACCATGGACCCGTTATTACCTAATTAAATCTTATTTATAATAGATGAAAAATTGACACCAAAGAAGTCCCGTATCAATTATTCTACTACTTTTGATGATTTTAATTTGGAGGTTGTAAAAACCCCTCATTAAGATCCACACGTGATTAATGTAGGGATTGGTGACCCATATTACAACGTCAAAAGGATTTTGATGGATAATGGAAGCTTCATCGATGTTTTATTCTACTCCACTTTTGTTAATATGAGAAAACTTCAACTTGCCACATGTCCAATAATAGGTTTAATAATCGACTCGTATGGGTGGAAGGAATAATCAGTTTTCTAGTCATACTTTGAGAATTTCTCTAATAGGTTATACACCATCCAGTTCATTATAGTGAAGTTAGAATCGGCTTATAACACTATATTTGGAAGGCCACTCAAGCCAATCTTTGTGATTTTTTCTTTTATCCCTCACCTTAAATTGCAGTTTCTTACTCCGACGGGGTTCGTTATAATATGTGAAGATTCACAAGTAGCATAATCATACTATCTAGAATTTTGATCTTCGGAATGAGGATATCCATGAAATGGCTTCTCCCATAGAAAACCTTACTTTTATATCTATATCAGAAGAACACCCTTCAAGGACTGTGTAAATTGGGTCTCTTCTCTTAGACGAAGAGAAGAAAAAATATATAGATTTCCTATATAAGAATCAATATATTTTTGCATAGAGTCCAATCGATATGCCCCGAATTGACCCCTAACTGATCATGCACTCCCTCAAAACTATATTCAATATATAAGCTAGTAATCCATAAGAAATAAAATTCTGCACTAGATTACTAGCTAGCAATCAAGCAGGTAGTTGATAAGCTTTGGAGGCTGTATTTATGCTAGAAGTGTAGCTATCCCACCTAGCTTGTGAATGTCATCATGGTGCGGAAGGCTAATGGAGCTTGGCAAATATGTTTAGATTATACATATCTCAATAAAGCCTATCCAAAGGATAATTTTCTACTTTCTCGTATTGACCAGTTGGTCAATACCACCTTCGAACATTAAATGCTGAGCTTCATGGATGCATACTCCAGTTATATTCAAATAATAATAAATTCTGTGGATGAAGAGGAAATGAATTTTCAAATAAATAAGGGGTTAGAATATTATCTGATCATGTTACTCGGGCTAAAAAGTACTGGAGTCTCATATTAACATCTCATGAATAAGGTTTCCAAAAAATCTTATTGGGCACACTATGGAAGTATATGTTGATGATATGTTAGTAAAAAGCCTTAAAAAATCTCAGCATATATCTTACTTAGAATAGTGCTTCCACCTACTATGACGCTACAACATGAGACTCAACTTGCCTATTGTGCTTTTGGAGTTACTTATGGAAAGTTCTTATGGTTCATAGTAACCCACCAAGTGATTCAGGCCAATCCTAAAAAATTAAAGCACTATGGGATATGGTGCCCTTGAGGAATATTAAGGAGGTTTAGAGACTGAATAGAAGGATCACAACACTATCTCATTTCTGACCTGCTCAGGAGATAAATATTTTCCTTTCTTTAGGATAATCAGAGGTGCTTGTAGTTATAGATTCCAATAGAATGATAAATGTCAAGAAGCTTTCGAGTAATTATGAAAGTATTTAACATCACTACCATTACTTTCAAAATTAACAACAGGAGAAAAGTTGAATTTGCACCTAATTGTATTTTATCCATGCTATCAGCTTGGTCTTGGTAAGAAATGAAAGTGTTATATAATGTCCCATCTATTATGTTAGTAAAATCTTATATGAAATAGAGTGACATTATCTACTAGTTGATAAAACAGGTTTGGTGTTAGTTTACTCCACCAGAAAACTATGTCCATACTTTTAAGCCTATATAATTAGGGTTTATACAAATTTACCATTGAGAAGTATCCTATAAAAGAGAAAAGCATTTGGTAGATTAATCAAATGATCTATGGAGCTAAGAGAGTTTGATATCCAGTACTTGCTTGGGCTTGATATCAAAT